CCTACACTCTTATACAAATGGTAGATCTTCTAGGTAATGAATGATGGCAGTCTAAGAAAATATGTAATATTCTAGATTTCAGTACAATTGCATTACAGGAAGTACTATAAAGAGAAAGAGGTTGATCCTAATCTGAAGTATCTCATGGAACCAAGTCAGTCAGCCTCTTCTGGCCATATGCATATCACAGTTACTTACTTCTGTACATCACTTGTATACCTATATTATTCTTTCCTGATTATGCTGACAATAGGCACTAAGGGAAAATAAGACCATTCTACTGTTCAAAGGACCAAAAATAATTACGGCTCCCTAGATTTCAGTTAGTCAGTAAGAAATGAATAAGTTGAATTCATCATTCTGGAAACTTCTTTCACAAATTTTTGCTTAAATCATTTTGGAATGTAGAAAACTCCAGCAGAACGACTTCGTTCTCTCACTGTAGATATGTCAGAAGAAAATGTAATTAATTGAACTTTACTACTGGTGAGAAGGGGCTACAGTTCTCACATATATAGGACACATATATAAGAATGTTCCTGACATCACTATTTGTCATAGCAAAACCTGGAACAACTCAAATGTTCATCAATAGTGAGATGGACAAATAAATTGTGGTTAATTATAGAATGCAATATTATACAGTAGTCATAATAAATGGACCTCTCCTAACAAAATGGATGAATCACAGCAATATAATTTTGAGTAAACATAACAAAATGGATGAATCATAGCAATATAGTTATGAGTAAAAAAATAGTCCAAAATATCAAATATAGCATGGTACTTTTTTTATAAAGTCAAAACAATCAAAACTAGAGCATAATTTTTAGGAACACACAAATACATGACAAAAATATAAAAAGGAAATCAAACAATGAGCACTGGTTACCTAAGTTGGTACTGGATGGGGAAGGATCGTTCAGCCAAATTTAAGTTACTACTAATGCTATAGTTTTACAGTTGGGAGGTGATTTCATGAGTACTCATTATTATGAATATGTTATAGAGGTAACAGGACTTGCAGGTGGGTGGCCAGGAAAAAGAGTTGATGGTTCTCATAGAGTTTAGAGTCCATACGACACAATTAGTAATTTCTCATACCTAGTTAGATACTATCCTCTACTGTATCATAACATTTTATACAAGGCTAGCAAATAAAGAATTTAATTTTTGGTTAAAAAAAGAAAACAATAACAAGCACTGTCTGGTTTGATCATCTACCTTATTCATCTCCTCAGTGTCAAATAACTTTAGGTTGCTTCCAGAAATTACATTTGCTTTCAAAGGATAAAGGCTGCACTCCAATTGAGTACACAAAAAAGGAAACAGCAAACTTTAAAGGCAATTTTTAAAGAGCTCTACAATGTTTGAACAATGAAATATATGCTTAGCCTTCTAAATAATCAACCTACTGAAGCGATTGTTTCAAAACCAGACTCATTACCTGGAATGGAGAGCTTCCCCAAGGTAGAGCAAGAATGTTGCCTTCTGCCTAGCCTTCCACAAGCACTCTCGTATCTGTTGAACGGAAATGCAAACTTTAGACTAAAGGATTTCTTTCTTAGGAAGAAATAGAATACAGCGCCCTCTGCTGCATTATATCAGAGGGTTGGTTGTTTTTTTCCTCTATTTCCTGTTCTTTTAGGTTTGAGTATCAAAATGTTCCGCTCAAAGTATCGTAAAGGTTTGAATGACAGAGAAGTAATAGTATTAACTTATTTTTCCTTAGTGAAAGTGATTATAATATAGACTTATAATTTTTGGTGTCAGGTATCGGATTCGCTGACTGTAAATAATGTGAACAAAATCAATTTTTCTTCACAAAATGTTTTGAGTTTATTGCAGGAAGGTAATTTAATAGAAGCACAAGATAAGTGCCAATTTAAGTGGCCAGGCCTAGAGAGGGAAGAATTCCTATGTCCTTGTGCCAACATTTCTCACATTTAGTGGCATATTGACAGCAATATGCATAACTTTAAAATCTTCCCATCTCTTCAATATTTAGTACAGTACAAATGAGGCCAACGAGGCTATAAAGAAGGAAAAACAAAAATTTGAGGTTCCTACATTTGTGCTCCTTTAGTACAGCCTACAATAAAATCTTTTCTCCACTTCTCTCCATTTACATTTTGCCCACCAAGCTATCCTAACTTTCCAGAACCTTTTAACTCATGCGAAGATATATTTTAAATATGAACGAGTTTGCTTATGGACTAAAATATTTCTAAAAGCCTGAAGCTCAAAATCCATCTAACATCAAACTCCCATTTATCTAGAATTCTCTAATCTTAGATAAGTAGTACTTTTCATGGACTTCCAAAATAAATGAAGACATTTTCATTAGATGAAGCATTAAAAATACTATATATTTCCTCATCTCATTTTTGGTGGTCCTAAAAATGTTTGCTCTTCATTTTATCAACCTAGTAAGTGTGAGATCAACGAGGGTCATTTAATTGAGCTGATCAGCTTTACTCTGGGTTTTGCTTCAAGAGTCATTTTAGTGCTCAGTTCACTAGGTCTGCCTCCTGGGCCACTAAAGAGCACTATGTAGAGCAGCAACTTCTCCTTTGATGAATAAGAAGCCACTGGTACTCATTATCTCTCTATGCTGGTGGACTGTGGGAATAAACTACCCCTTGACCTCCCTTCGCCAGTCCTTCTCTGTTTTGTTTCATTATCCTCTACTGCAAACACCACTGGCATTTTATCATCTTACCATTCAGGTTTTATATACTTTAAAGCAGGTGAGATTGAAGGTTTAGCCCTTCAGTGTTTCCATTACTCTGATCTCCAACCAGCCTGACCCCTCCCTATCAGGTATGCCATTTCCTGGATGTCTGTTTGTCCTGTTATTCTAACCAGACTTTAAGTTCCTTATTGTATGCTGCTTCTGCACTCTCCTGCAATCTTAAGGTAGAGATGACATAATCTTTACTAGTAATAACTCTTTAAAAAATTGGTTTTATTTTTTAACTAGCAACATCAGCTCCACTAGCATTTATTTAGTGTGTACTAATGTACTACACACCGTTTTGAGAGTTTTGAATTCTAAAGTGAATGAAATGAGATGCCTGCTCTTACAGAGCTCACAGTGACAAAGAATGTGGTACAGTGGTGAGAATGTATGCACAAGTACAGTCTCTAAATAAAGGGATATAAAATGTGCTATTTTTTAAAGTCACCACTTACAAATCACAATGTACTCTAATTTCTCAATAGGTGAAAATATTTAAAAATGTATTCCTAATTTAAAAATATTCAAAACTAGAAAATAATAAACATATTTCTAATTTAAGTTTAACTGATTTCTTGGAAAGAAATTTAAGATACTGTGGTAAAAATTTAGGGGAACAAGTTTGAAAAAGAAAGCAGTTAAGTAAAATGTATCTAGTGCCTACTGTGGTGCTAAATATTATACTAGATGCTGAGAATACAACAGCGAGTAAAATTTAATGGTGATCTTACACTGACGGAGCTTACAGTCCAATGGAAGAAGCAGATAATCAATCATACAAGTAAATGGCAAATTACAATAGTGATAAACGCCACAAAGGGAAGTCAGAGAGTGCTGAAAGGGAGTCACAGAGGCTTCCCTGAGGAAAAGACATCTAAAGGGAAGATCTGAGGGAGCAAAGACAGTAATCGAAGTGGAAAGAATAAGATGGGCACATGCCTTCTGACTAGAGGGTGCTCGGCAGTCTTAACTAAGGACGTGAAAGAGACGGGAGCAAAAGGGCAAAGGGTAGCTTGGTGGAAAGGAAATGAGGGCAAAGTAGGGAGGAGCCAGATCTTGTAGGATTTTGCGGGTCATTTTAAAGATATAGTTTCACCCTAAAGTCAATAAAAAGCCATTAAGGAATTTTAGTTGTTCTGATTAAATTATAACATCACTTCTGCAAAGGATCTGGCATGGTTTCAGATACATAGTAGTAGGTCAGTAAATACTGATTCCCTCTCAAATACACTCTGCAAAATTTACTTTACTCAGTAGTGTATTTAATCAATTAACAGTCACAGTATCTTCATAAAATTAATTAGCATTATTTAATTTTAATTTAATGTCAATTTTCTCCCAATATATTAAAGCAGAATTCCAAGTATACTAGAAATAAAAGTTGTTTATTAAATCATAATATGATCTTATATAGTGCTAAAAATAAAGTACAATTAAGTTAGCCTCTGTATCTATATTTTGACTTTAAGTTTTTAATACTAAGTGTTTTGTAAAATATATTAATACTAAGGTGAAAAAGAAACAATTAAAACAGTATAAAGTTATAATGGCATAATTTAAGAGATCCAAAGCTTATAAATTTATTTAGCAAGATAAAATATGCCTTCAAGAAAGCCTAAGAAAGTTATCTCGAAACCACCTGTAGTTTTAGCATATCAACTATCAAACCATGACATAGTCTCTTTTCCTATGGATAAAAATTTCTGGCTTTTGAATTTCTTGTATTTTTTCATGTTTCTGCTGTAACCCATTAGGACAGTTTGCAAAGGGGAAAATATTTTACCTAAAATATTTCAGCAATGCATCTTAATATTTACATTTGCATAGACTGAAAGAAGCTAATCTTATTGATTTAAAAAAAAGGCTAACTTTGGTAGGCGATTACCAGATAGGCATGACATCAGGGAACCATATTCTTCCCAGGTATTTGGAGACTTCAGTGTGAATTTCATCCAGGCTATAATTATCATCAGGGATCAAAACTTCCTCCATTATAGAGAGCTGGGTTAGCCTTCTCCCACATAGTCTTACGAACTCAATGAATGCACTACAGCTAACTTCACATTCACTGAGGCCCAAGGCTGTTAAGTTTTTACAGTGTTTAGCAATACAAATAAGTTCATCATCAAGAGTCTGAAGACCATTGGCACATACCACTAACTCAATTAGTCGTGAACAGTTAAGACCTATCCGTCCTAGAACTGTTTTGCTTACTGAACGACCAAAATAAAGGTGAGTAACAGGGGTTTCTTCTTTGAAGAATGTCTCAAATTCCTCTTCATATAAAAAGAAGTACATAACAACATTAACTCCAGGGGAGTGTTTAGTAAGTGCATCCCAACTTTGTTTCTTAATAGAATGAAATTCGATTTGTCCAGGATTTTCACTCACAACATCAATTCGGAGATGTTCAAGGTTAACATGAGTCTCACTTGAAAGTGCCAGGAGAAGTTCATCACTTAGCATGTAATAATTCAATGCCAGTTCTCTAAGGCCTTGACAATAATCAGCTACACAAAGGATCCCTATGGGAAATGGAGGAAAATTCTTAAAAACAAAGAATCATACTAATAAAACATTTTATACATTTAAATTTGATATTAGTTATTTTTTGCTAAAACAGACATCTAATGATTTCTGAAGAGATAGATACCAAGATATACATATGTATATATAACTAAAGAAGTCTTAGGAGAACCAATTTAAACTGTATCTAGCTTGCAGATTAAGACTTCTTTTGAAAAAAGATTAATAAATTATGTTTCTTAAGCATGCAGTTTTCAATAAGAAATTGCATTGTTACTATGACTACAATAAATATCATGCAAGCTTAAAAAATATATAACCTACCATCAGATGAAACATGAGGACAGCTACTCATTTTTAGTAGTCTTAAAGTATCACTATTATTGGCTACAAGAATCTTCAGTGAAGGATCATCCATTGGTGTGTCTTCAATTTTAATTGATGATAATGATTTTGAGTTGACAAAAACAACTGTAAGTGCTGACACAAAATGAGACTTGCCCGGCAATAAGAAAAAAATTATGAAAACATTAAAGATCTACAGCTTCAATGAAGCAATTTATTAAAACTACATCAACATATGCTTACAATAACATAGTAAAAGCAATCAACATATTACTGTTCCCTGTAGTACCATTAGCTAGAGGACATTTTTATAACAGTTTTTTTTATACTTTCATAATTCATACATGGACTAGTAAGAAAGAAGTTACAAAGATTTCATAAACATGTCTTCCAATTATTTTCAATCTTAAGGCTTTAGTTTTCAATATTTAAAGGATATAATTATATTTATGTCCTAGAACAGGGGTTGGCAAGTTATGGTCTACCAGCCAAATCTAGTCCGTGGTCTGTTACTGTATGGCTCCTGAGTTATGAATGATTTTTAAATTTTTCCCCTCTTTAATTCCCCTTCACCACCACTTCCACCCCTGACCGATGGATATTGCTGTTTCCCCTTAAGAACTGGATCTCTGAAGGTGGGGTGTTCCCTCCCACATGCTCAGGGGGTGCACCTGGGGCCTGGCATCCCTGGGGCCAGGCGCCCCTGGGACCTGGCACACCCAGCACCCGGGGCCTGGTCCGTGGCTCCACCTGGGGCACAAACCCAAGACCTTCTACATGCAAAGCAGATGTGCTAACCATTACACCATGGAGTCACCCTGGGTTTTAAATTTTTAAATAGTTGAACCTCCCACACACTCAGGGGGTGCACCTGGGGCCTGGCATCCCTGGGGCCAGGCGCCCCTGGGACCTGGCACACCCAGCACCCGGGGCCTGGTCCGTGGCTCCACCTGGGGCACAAACCCAAGACCTTCTACATGCAAAGCAGATGTGCTAACCATTACACCATGGAGTCACCCTGGGTTTTAAATTTTTAAATAGTTGAAAAGAATGTTTTAAAGAATATTTTGTGACATGTGAAAATTACATGAAACTCTTTCAGTGTCCATAATTAAAGTGACTGTATGTGACGCAGCCGTGCTGCTTCGATTATGTACTATCTACGTCTGCTTTCACACTGTAGTGCTGGAGCTGAATAGCATGGCAGCAGCAGAGTTGCAGCAAAACTGTATGAGATGCAAAGCCTAAAATGCTATCTGTACCTTTTCAACTTCTGCCCTAGAAGAAACAGAATTTTTATCTCAATTATTCATTCCTGTTTTTCCAGCACCTAAAATAGCATCTGGCACATAGTAAGTCAATAAATATATTGATGAATAAATGATGTCATATTCTTTAGTGACATGTTTTTTGTTAGCAAATTGGAGATATGTTTTGAAAACTTTCTGTTTTGAAGATTGACAAACTAAAGCTTACTCATAGTTTGAACTCAAAATAGGTAGAATTTCACAGGTTTTCAGATCCAGTATTTTTGAACATAGAAAGTCTGGAAACCAAATCCGTGCATGATTATTTTTCCTTTTTCAAAATCAATTTGAATTCTACTAAAAGTTCTACTGTCTCTATTAGAATGATAAAATTGGTTACAAATCTTAATTCATTTATAAGAAAATTTATTGGTTTATACTAATTGTTAACTGATTCACACAAATTTTTAAATGGTGGATAGCTAGACTTTTTACTAAATTTTATGGGGCCAAAACTTACTAGAGTAACATAAATACATGACTCTTTTTTCTTAAGACATATAAGGTTTGTTTTCTTTTTAATCAACTCTCAATGGACTTTTAGTCCTGAAGATATGGTTAAGCATTAGAGTATAAGTATTCCTTGCTTTTTGAAAGTTCGTTTCATACCACTTCACTTTTACAAAAGACCTACCTGTTAGTACCTGTTTTTGCTAACCAAAAAAAATCTGAAGAGAATTTTCATTTTTGTGAAAAAGGCAAAAAGCAAAACTAACGTTAATGGTTTTTTTGCAGTGAGCCATTACAGAGGCAGTGCATAAACCGAGCAGCAGAGTGGCCCCATCGAGATTCTTCTCTGAGGGAACTACACTGAGCATCTCAGTGCCAAGCTGCCGTAGCTTTGAACTGTGTCTGTAAGCATCTGTGCTTCATCTTGATTCGTTTTGTGCACTCTTTAGCAAGATGTGTCCTAAGATAACTGCTTCTTCGCTTTACACCATCTCAGCTTACAAAGAGTTTCAAAGGATCGCTCTACTTTCAAGACAGCAGGGAAACCTGTATCTATTTGCTTACAGTAACAATATATTAATCTAGCACTTTTGATACCTTGTAAAATGCTGTACTTTTATCTGATTTTTCCTCAGTTTACAAATGAAAAACATGAGGTTCAGAGAGATCCACAACTTTGCCAGGAGCCACAGAGATCATTTCACTGTGGAGACAGAGCTTGAAAGGAAGCCTGCTGCCAATCGCTGCTCTCACTCTGGTGACTGCATCGGCTAGCCCAGAAGCTAGCCCTGGATGCTGATGTGCAACATTAGCGACAGATTAGAATCTACGAATTTCTGGCTAATCTGATCCCATAGTTCACAAAGATATAACTATTCAGAAGTAGTAAGTTTTCTTATATTACTTATATTACTCTAATCCCCAAATCATCCATTTCTTTTTAATATATCTCTTAAAAAGATAAACGGGCTAGCAAAAATGCTTGCTACAAGAGAGCCGTAACCCAGTCTATGAGAAAAAGATGCTACTATTTCTCTATCCTCTCCTATAGGAAGGTTTCCATTAGCCAGTTTTACTGACAACCATAATTTAGAATTTATTATAATTTATCAGAATTCTAATTCTGGTTTTACAATGGTAAATAAACTAAATAGAATCCCTGTCTTCAAGGAGTTTATGTTTTGGTCTGGGGAGAAGAGAATAAACATGTTAAATAAATACGGTAATTTCAAGTACTGATGAATGATATAAAGAAACTAAAATATTATAGGAGAGAGTAAGTGGAGGAGTGGGTACAATTTTAGCAAAAGTGGTCAAGGAAGGCCTCTCTGAGGAGATGGCATTCAAACTGAAGCCTAACTGAAAAGTGGACAGTTAGTTTCTGTGGCAGAGACTGCTGGTTGCTACCTAAAACATTCATCTTTTCTTCTTTGGTAACCTAGTCCTAATATTTAGCTGGGCACATTGCTACCCAGCTAAAAGACTCTCCTAGCTTCCCAGAAATCTAGTGTGGCCATAGGGCTAAGTTCTGGCCAATGAGAAGAACAGAAGCATTATGTGGTACTTATAATTAGTCTCCTTGAAAAGGAAAGGGCATACCCTTCCTCCCCCATTTCTTCCATCCAGCTGCCTAGAATAAGGACATGATGGCTGGAGCTCAGAAAGCCATGTTGGACATAGAAAATGAAGAAAACACCTTGGAGAGACTGGAGTGCCTAGAGAAAACCTGGGTTCCAAACAGCTTCATACCAGCTATGGACTGTCTCATCTGGGGATTTTTTAATGTAAGAGAAATAAACTTTGGCCTTGTTTTCTTAAGCCACTATTGTTTTGGAATTTCTACTACACAGAGTCAAACATCATCCTAATTAATAGAGTTCATTTAATTAAATAGTATGTTGTTTCACCTCCAATGGAGAGACTACAGAATTACAGAAAAGACATCATTCAGTGGCCCTATATACCCTATACTCAAAGTAATTAAGTAAACTGGCACCTGAATATTGTATAACATTTAAATTTTATATTAATGACACTTAATCGAGAAATAATTACTAAAATTACAAAATATATCTAAAGGATGAAAACATGCATAAGCTATTTCTGCAAAAAATAAGTGCTAGTCAACAGACAACTGCTTTAAATAATTCTTTGAATACAAGTAGAATATGCTCTGTTTTTAGGAGAAGGTCTTTTCTGCTGGTATGATGATACTTAAGAATTTTTAGTATACCTCACAAAAAAAAATAAAGTACAGCATCTTTACCTGTGACATATTCATAAAACTTGGCTTGGCTGTTGAAATTAAGCCCAAGGTCTGGATAGAACAATTCACCAGCTGAGAAAGTATATCACAGGCAGCTTCTGCTGATTCCGTACTACTATCAACCTAGAAAGACAATTCTAAATCTTAATTTCATGAAGGTTAACTTAGCAGAAATTTACTGACAATATAATTATTTAATAAGGTTCAATTGCAAAACTGTATTTACCCCTTCAGGCTATAAAATAAATTAGCATTTTTTTCTTTATACAAAATGTCTCAAATAAAAAAAAAATGAGAAATAGAGATGATGACAAATTAATTTTCTAAGGACTTCACACTTGCAAATCTTTTACAATTACCTGAATTTTAAAAATAGCATTCAGATGAAGGAAATTAAAGTTTAAGTTATTCAATATAATTCAAGTTCTACATCTCAATCTATGCAAAGAACTACAGAAAAACAAGAAATAGTCTGGGATAAAAATTCTTCAAAATTTATTGACTGAGTCAATATGGGGATCTAGATATACAACGATATTGTTAAAATATAAGTCATGGTCTCTATTTAATGCTTATTTTCCTTACCTTAAAGCTGACATACTGGAGATGGGCAGCATGCTTTTTAATGATCTGCTGAATGAGATCAGGATGAGTGGACTTAAAATACGAAGTAGCTGGCTGGTTCAGTTCAAATTCAAACTTTCTCCAAAGGTCAGGAATATGAAAAACTTCATTCCATCTCCTACATACAGAAGATGCTCGGGCCCGATCTATTAAAGGAAGATACTGAAAAATGCGTAATACTACATGGTGAGGCAAACTCCCCCAGTCTAGAAGAACAGGGTACATATGAATCTGATTGAGAGAAGAGTAGAACCCAAGTTTTGGCTGTTTCACTGCTGGTGAAGATTGGCCAATTTTATTCACAACAGATAAATTATTCCTCTTCATTCTGCAAATATTAAAAAATGTTAAGTGACAATTTTTTCCACATTTCCATCATGTATTTGTGCTCTAATTAAATAAATAACAACATTAGGAAATGAAAAACAGTTTAAGACAATTTAAAAAGTAACCTACCACTTTTATGCATTGATAGGTACTGCTATGTGCTGGGGATACAGAAATAAATAAGAGGAAACCAAAGCTGTGGTCAAATGGTGAAAGACAGTGATAAATGCCATTACTGAAACTGGGACAAACTACAATGGAAAAATAAGGCAATGGTATATAACTGAGTTTCTATGTGGGTGAAGGTTGCTGAGGAGGCTTCCAAGAGGAAATGTCCAAGAAAACTGTGGATGTCCCAGCTTTACTCCTGGCCAATTACTGGATTCTTACTATCTCCTACACAGAAGGAAGCATCACATTTCAATTGTGCTCGGAACTCCTGGGGGTTCTGAATAAGTCCCAGCTCTGCCATTTACTAACCATGTGATCTTGTCTGAGAAAATTAATTTAAGCCTCAGTTTCCTCATCTGAAAAGCAGAGAGAACAGCAGTACCTTCTCATAAGGTTGTTGTGAGGGTTAAAATACCTTAAGTACCAGCATATAGTAACTGCTCAATAAATGTTACAGTTGTTTTTACTTTAAATTGTCCAATGTATTTTTCTAAACAAACTTCATTGAGTTGAGTCACAATTCTAACAAAAAGTCAAATGATCTGTTACAATTTTCAGATGATATCCAAGACATAGGAGCTCTAGGAAAATTGGATATGGCAGGGACAAAGTCTATTTAAACAGCAAACTTGACCCTCACTAGCCAATGTAAAATAGCAAAGGAAAGAGCATTCTTCCCCAACAAAAAGAAATGATGAGTCTTCAGGTATTAGTCAGCCTGAGCTACAACTAAGTTCCAAAAAATTTCAGGTCCAGATATATCCAAGTATATAGGATTATCTTGTGTGTGTGTGTAATAAGAAACAATTTATGTGTCTGTGGATAGATGAATGGATAAAGAAGTGTATGTGTGTGTGTGTATACATACATATATATACATATACACATGTATGTATATATACACATATGTGTGTGTGAGTGTACATACATACACACATATGTGTGTATACATACATATATATACACATACTCACACACACATATGTATATAGCAAAAGAAACCCAAAGTATTTTGAGTATATAATTATTTGAGAGGTAAAAAATAATGGTAAGAATAGCTCTGAACTTTATTTAACTTTAGTTGACTATTTAATCTTCTTTTCACCCTTGAATACTAGCAGTGTATATGTGGAAGATTCAGTGTCATAATTGAAACATATCTTTAAATCTAATGAAATATTTATTTAATATGTAAATATCTCTGTCTTGTAAGTCACTCTTTCTGATGTAAAACATTTCTTAACCACAACACAGAGTTGGATCCCAGAAGCAGGACTGACCTAGTCACTGAACAAAATGAAAGGTCATCTCTAGGGTTTGGAAAACTGAAATGGAAAGCAAAAATAGTTGCAAAGCTCTATCTCAAGAATTGAGCAAAAGCACACACATTTTAATCTGACTAAAATTACGTACATGGCTGAAAACCGGTCCAGCAATACAATATAGAATATATGAAGCTGCTGACATCAATAATTCAAAGCACACGCTATTTTGAAAGGGCTGATCTATTCTTCAATGCTAATTCCCTAAAATGAAATATGATGGCTGGGGGAAGGTAAAGGAATGGACACTGGATTCTAAACTCCGATGTAAAGCACATTTATTGACATTTGCTTGTAATTGTTTTATCTGGTAGCCTACAGAATGGATAGTTAAAATTTCACTAAGGTATTACAAAAAAACTTATCCCAAATATAATCTCTCAGTAAAAAAATAGTGAAATGAAAAATAAAACAGACTGCATCCAAATGCTAAGTTAGAAAACCGCCTTAAAATTCTAAACAAAGCAATTGTGCTGTATATTAAATCTGGCTATGTGTAATGTGGATTGTTAAAATCATTTATTTAGTAAAATCATTAAATTTCTAATTCACTGATAGAATCACAACTGAAGGATATCATGTCTCAATAATTCTATTAAAATTAACATTTACATTTTTTCCTTATGTATACTAGTTTTCAGAGCTTAAAACTCACCTACAAATTATAAATTTTATGTAAAAATAATTGTATACAGTGAGCATATGGGCAAACTATATTTAAGAATACAAGACTAACTGATCTTTCTTAGCTTGAAAATAATGATATAAAAATTACAGCCTAAACATATATGATCACCTTTAAAAACTGATCATTTCTTTTTCAAACTACCAACTTTCTTACCTAACGAAGGCTTCCAAGTTACAGTTCACTCTGAATGAACGAAATGAAGTAACTGCTGCCATGGGGTACTCACCAACATCCATTTCATTTCACTTCCTAGCTTGGCAAAATACCACAAAAACACATTCATCAGAATGTATAAGTAGAAATCCAATAATTTTTATGCTTAGGATATTTATATATATTTGTATATAAATATATTGTATTTGTAAATATGCTTAGAATATTTATATATATTTGTATATGTTGAAAGTTTTTTAGGAAATTATTAATGCCCAAACTATTTTTCTCCACTCAGAGGGAAATCTGTCCAAAAAAAAAACTAGCCTGGTTAGTAGAAATATTGCAGCACTTGCCAGGAATTATACTTGAAGCTCTACTAAAATAAAGGGTAGTAGATCAGTCAAAAGGCTCTAAAAATTCACATTTTAATGAACACATATGGAAAGATATACAAAAAATTTAAGGTAGTCCATGATTGCATTTATTTGTTTACAGGCTATGTAACTCATTCAGTTCCCGTTTTGGCAGCACACAACACTACTACAGTTGTAATAATTAAATAAGAAGACGTAACTTTTATTATTTATCGTTACCCTATGAATATAGTTTGTTTGACTAGTTTGCTGTTAACAGAACATATGTTTCTGTGGTTTTAAAATTTTTCACTTATACTGATAGATACAACTGGTTCATTCGTACTTAATTGATTCATTGATATTCTCTTTGAAGTTTGGCCAGTTTTAGGCACAGTGACTTGTCAGAGTTTGGAGCAGTTTATGGACATGGAAGAAAATAATAACTGGTCTATACCAGGATAAAACGCACTGCCTTGGAATCATAAATAAATGTCATAAAGTAAAAAATAAATAAATACATTCTACTGCCTTTGTAAACCAAACTAAACTATACAGAGGAGGTGGAGGAGGCAAGCAGTTAATCAAGTAGAAACTTCTCTTAAATTTCTACTGTCTGCCACCTGTCAGCTCTCAACCTCTCTCCGAAACCTACTCCTAAAATAGAGCTTTGGAGGACAGACATGGAGACGGTATTAGAGGCCAGTATCCACAATCTGATTTCTTGTACTGTCATCTATTTTCCAAACAATAGCAACGTTGGCTCTCTCTCCTTTACATTCCACCCCAGAAGTGGGCTGAAAGGAGCTATCAGCATACTTTTAGAGGAATACAACAAATAAAAGAAAGACAAGTTGAGTGACTTGTATTCCCCTAATCAGATGGCACACAATTTTATTTACTGCAGAAACTTTTCTACTGAGTTATCAAGCTGGCTAATTTTATGTTTACAGGCCATTCTTTATGCTAAAAAACAATGAAGTAATCTGGTAAGGGTATATAGATAGGGATTCACTACCTAAGACCCACGAGAAGACTGTATGCAAGTACCTATCTCAGATCAGTTCACTAGAGTCTTCAGGATCAAATGAATTACTAACCTGGTTGCTGAAGGAACTTGATTGCTATTTCAGAGTCACTATCTGTAATTGTAAGGGCTAGTAGAAGACAAAACCAGAATACAGGATCCCATCAAGTAATAAGCCATATTTCCAAAGAGGGAGAGATGAGCAAGCTTGACAGTGATCTTTAGCACAATTCTAGGGTACAAAATAGGTTTATTAGAATTTGGGAAAGACTGCAATGACGACTCAAAGTTCACTTAGTGGCTTCACTAACTACCCTAATCGAATTTCCTTTTATGAGCCTTTAAAAGTAAGAAATCTCCCATGGTATTCTTGAGGGAAAGGTAATCAAAGACAGATTAGATGAAAGACTGAAAACATCCAAAGCCAACCTGGTGACAGCAATGGAAGCAACTATCTTTCGCACCATCACGAGGTTCTTCCAGATTGGTTAAATGAATACACGGAAAGTACTTTTTACAATTTCAAATTTTCAATTGTCACAACACTAAAATATTATGTAAATACTACAGATAACAGATTGGTTAAATGAATATTCAAAGTATTTTTAAAAGTACTTTTTAAAAGTTTCAAGTTTCCTATTGTCACCACACTAAAATATTGTGTAAACACTACAGATAACAGAATAAAGATTCAAAACTACCCGAAAGGCTAGACAAATTTGTTGGAAGCAGCAAGATGAAAATGAACAGGAAGTAATTAGCAAATGTCCTTTATTTAAGCTACTTTCTGAACTGTCACACTAAGAATCTGATTACTGCCACCACAGGTTGATGGTTTCTGCTATGGCAGGGGTCTTCAACCCCCAGGCCACTGGTACAGTAGCCTGTTAGGAACCAGGCCGAACAGTAGGAGGTGAGCAGCAAGAGAGGGAGAGAAGCTTCATCTGTATTTGCAGCCACTCCCCAGTGCTAGCATCACTGCCTCAGCTCTACCTCAGATCATTAGGCATTAGATTCTCACAGGAGCACTGGGCCCTGGTGCCAAAAAGGTTGGGGACCACTGTTACGAGGTCTGAAATCCCAGTCATTGGTGAAAGTCAAGGGAGGCATGGCCTGGAAAGGAATGCTGAAGATCTGTTCCAAAACACAGCTTTAAAACACACAGCTTTCTAATATACCTCCTCCCACTAAATATAACTAACACGAGCAGAAGACAAAACATTTTTTTTAGAAACGCTGTCAAAAATATTTATGTTCTTTGCAGCCCACATGACCTCTAAGTTTCCTTATAAATCTAA